GGGCTGCGCAAAAACAAGCTAAACGTTCTCTTCGTGCATGATACCAAAAGACATCCTTTCACATGGTGCTTCAGCTTTTCTCTGTGCGTGAGCCTCGAGATTATGCAGCATCGTCCAGGGTCATGCTGGAGCTGGCGGCTCATTGGATGCACTTCTATGTCTGCGAACTTGATGCAACCGCGACTCACAGCCAGGCTTGTTATGTACAGCTTGAGATTCGACAAATCCTACGGATGTCTCAGGGTATAGCACCAGTACCACGAGTAGGGTGAAAAGGCCGCAGAAGCAAGCTGCTCGATTCACCGTCTTGGCACAAAGTAACTACAAGCTTCTGCAACTGACTTGCAGTTGTGAGCCAAAACATCAGGCATTGCACAACAGGCTGCGATCGAGGGCCCGACTTGCCAACGCGCTGGCTTCCCCACCTTGAGACATTCTGCGCGGTCACGCGCCCGGTCACGCGCCCCATCTCCCCGGCCAGCGAAGCAAAGAGGCCAGCAAATATGGAGCTCAGAACCCGGCAAAGGGTGGTCCCAGTAGGAGAGGTTCCCTCGAGCTCAGCGGCTCGACGGAAGCTCCTCAAGGCCTGAGTTTCACAGTGTTTGAGGGAACTCGGCCAAAAGCAGATGCGGCAGTTAAAAACTCTGTTTTCTTACCATTTGTTCGGAGCTGTTGTTGAGCTGTTCCAAGCAACCACGGCCTCTTAGCTGTATTACTATCATTTCTAGGCCAGTACTTCTGAGGCTTATACTAATCAGTGTTCTCACGATTCTTGCAACCACTACTATCAACATACTACTATGCTACGAGCGCAATCACCCCTCTGACGGCTCTTGCTAGACATACCGATGATGAGAGACCGTCTTGTCCTGGCACCGACTCGGGCACCGACCTCTCGGTTCATCCCAGCTTGCAGCCTGCACCCGAAGCTATCAACGAATGGGAGTTTCCGAGAGGAAGGGGTACCTTGTTTTGGGGTCCGTATCACAAGGATCCTACTCTTTGGGGTACTATACTAGGGTCCCCTATTTTCGGAAACCCCCAAATGAGCTCAAATGGTGAGAATCTGTTTTCTCTCGAGCTGCAGTCGTTCACTGCAGTGCGCATGACAGGAACTGCACGGGAAGAGGCCCTTCTGACCGCACTTCAGTGTACCAAAACTTGCATTCTCACTAGAACCGGTCCTGATTTGCAAGGTCCCACGAACATGTACCGACTCTTGATCCTGTAGGCCCAAAAGTCATCAGATATGGTAGCAGAATGTAGGAGGGAAAGTTGTAGTACACAGCAGCAGACTCTGCAGCAGTAGTTGTAGCAGCGGCAGTGGTCGCGGAAGTGCAAGTGACACTGACAGCGGCAGTCGCAGTATTAGTCGTCGCTGTAGACGTAGTCGTAGTCGCAGCCGCAGCAGCATCCCATTCCCAGTGCCAGTTCCAGCCACTGTAGTGGTGGAAGTAGTAGTAGTAGTAGTAGTAGTAGTCGTCGTCGTCGTCGTCGTCGTCGTCGTCGTGGTCGTCTTCGTCGTCGTGGTCGTGGCTGTTGCCGTCGTCTAATGGTCGTAGTCATGGTCGTGGTCACGGTGGTGGCATCGAAGCAGACATGTTCGTCAAACTCGGAGCACCCTGACGACTTCTGCTTGTTCGTTGGAAAGTTCATGGAGACACGAGACCTAAAAGAGATCGAGTTTCGTGTGTAAGGGCCTAAGCGCCCGGAGTTCCTTGTAACTTTCCGTCGAAACTGTGACGGAACTCGTGTGTCGACTCCTTTCTTTCTGCTAAATAATGGAATGAAGGAAGCTGATTGCATGCACCTTGGCCTTATTCGAAGGGCGGTAGGGTTCACTTCTCTGCTTCCCTCCCAGGTTCTCTGCAAGAGCACCTCGCGAATGCCAGGAAGCCTGCCAAAGGAACTCAAGGGAGGTTCATCTAATGGTATAGTACTACATTATGTATTGTAGTATATTATGTTATATAGTATAATCAGCATAATATATGAATCAGAATCAAGGCAGCCATCATCGGGAGTGGCTAAAACGAAGCTGGCACTCAGTCTTGCAAAAGGGATCTGGGACGATGGAGCCAGGCCTACAGCCTTGGGAGACGATGTGTATTCCGAAGCTTTCCGGAAGTAGATCTCCTGGGACCAAGGCAAGGCTGTAGGCTGCTGGAAGTGGTCTTGCTCATCACATGGCCCGGGCAAGTTTTATGTTGCAGATCTTCCCATGTATACTTCTCAATTCTAGGGCCGCTTCTTCCGGAAAATCCATGCTTGCCGTTTCGAGCACAGTGAGTTTGCACACCCAGTTCCCGAAAGCCGCTACAGCCCCGACAAGGAACCTGCGACCGCACAGATCGGAAAACGCTGAAACTTCGAGCCCTGAGCCCTAGACCCGGAAGACCTAAGCAACAGCTCGAAATCAAGGAAGGACGGAACCACGGGAAGATCGAGAGAGCTTTCGTGCCCAACAATCCATGCCCCTGAACCGCCGAGCTACATTCTCCCAAAGCTAGCCGCACCCATCCATGGCAGCAAGTGCAGGTGCCAGGTCCATACCCCCGAAGCTAGACTCAGCTCGACCTTGAAGGACCCTGCAGCCGAAACGTCGATACACAGGCTAGTTCCCTGGAGCGGCTCCGCAAGACTTGGCGAAGCTTCGCGCATCAACCGCAAAGCCTGCGGAGAAATTCAGATGAATAGGGTTAGTCCATCACAAGCAAGACGAACGAAGCAGCAAATCCAGCTAATCATAATCAGAACAAACTGACTCTTGCCAGCTGCCTTATCGCTCAGGCAGGCCACAAACTTCCTCGGAACTCGCAGCGATGCACATCAGTCTACTACGGCTGATGGACAAAATCCTGCATGACCCAAATATAGTATAGTACCATAAATCCTATAGTTTAGGTATATAGGGTCATGCAGGATTTTGTCCATCAACAGTATCAGTGCTCAGCTCGACAACACGAACCCTGACGCCATGACGCAGAGGCTTACAGAGCAGGGTGAGTGGTCAGACGAAAAGAAATGGGTAATTGTCAAAATTATGGTCCCTTTTGGGGTACCCTAAATAATAGGTGCCGTATTATAATAAGGACCCAAAAAGGGACCATCATATTGACAACCACCCACATGAAAAGAGCAGCCGGAAGCTTTCCATAAGCTGACTAGAAAGGAGCTCCCAAAGGCTGAATGTGGCCTCGGGAGGTGTGGGATGGCTCAGCGGGCTGAGGAGGCTGCGGTCCCACTTCGCAGCATCCAAATGCTCCAGCAAGCGGGTCATCGCGCTCCTGTACGTCTGAACTAGCACAGTTCAGTATTATGTAGTGACGAGTTTCTGAGGGCAACGAGATAAGGCACAGCAACACATTCGCCCGAGTCCCGGCGTTTAGGCCTGTGATCTGAATTGGGGTGCGACCCGCCCCGAAGGCCTGCAAAGCACGAGCGTGAGCGTCGTGCATCACCTCCCAAGAAATTGCAGCAGAGGTGCTTCTATCTGCAGTTCCTGCACTGCAATCCGCGACGAGAAATTCCCAAGGCCCGGACTAAACTAATAATAAACTACGTATAATATACTGTACTATACCTAATATAAGATATTCTATAATATGATAGGATATACGATAACACAATATTATATATATATATATACGAAGAAGCCGCTGTATACTCTGGCTATGACTGGCCTCGGCAACTCCGAGCATCTCGGCTGCACAGCTGCAGGCCACCGGCAGCTTCCGCAACCTATGAAAAACTGTGGCGATCTTTAGCGTTTAGGGGTTTAGGGTCTGAGTCTGGGGGTTTAACCACGCCCTTATCTTGAGAAGATCTATTCTTGCTCGCGGGATTCCCAGCCCCAATGCGGCTCCCGAGCTGGCAGACCTCTTTATCCTCGAACGCCTTCAAACGCGCTCTCACATGGCTGTGCCGATGTCTCCGGAAATAGCAGGCATGCACCTGCGAGACTTCGACAGAACATGCACATGCAAAGTCCCCAGGCTCAGTCCGTCTTGGAAGCAAGCTTGAGGCGCCGCTCGCGCTTTGGCAGAGGCTCGGGGATGTTTAGTGACACTACAATGACGGCCGAATTATCGGCTTTTGTGACATTGGCCGCAGCTTCCAGCACTGCTTTGGCAGCAGCTTCTGGGGACCGTGTCTCCCGCAGCACTTTGCGGGCTGTGATGATGGCGGTCTGCTCGCGCAACCCGTCCCAAATACCATCAGTGGCAAGCAGGACGAATTCTGTGGTGTCTTTGACACTCACGACGAAGACTTCAGGTGCACAAATGACCCCGGGAACTTTCTTCCCGGT